TGGAACTTGCAGAGAAACTTATCTCACCCTGTAAATGTCACAACGAATACTTTATTTCGTACGCTTCGCGTAACTTTGCATACTGTATACGTTTTTGCATCTCTAGATTTTCTACAAACGCGTGAAGACTCTACCGATCTGTCGTTGCTGGAAAGAGATACGCACTCGATGCTTCTAATTTGTTGGGGAAACTTCGGTTATTTCATTTATATAATAGATTCTTTTTACTTAAGATAACAATTCCCTTATCGAGATACATGGTTCTGCTTTTTGCTTATTATACACAATATCTAAAGTTCTTCTACTCTTCCTTTCCACTCAATCCACTCTATCTCCTCTTTCTCACACTGTTTCTTATTTATCGTTCACGTTATTTCACGTTCTTTTCCCATATGTTGCAATGTATTTTCTTTTTGTTACAATTTACGTATATAATAGTTATTATACTGAAATACGATGTAGATATCATTTGTAATTGTCGTCGCGATAAAAATATATACTTTCATTAATATTAATAAATAATTCTGAAAAGTATAAAGTATTTTTATTAATTTATCGCGACGGGGAAAAATAAAATATTACGCAAGTTAATTTGTAATTCTCAAATAAAGATAAAAATTCTGAAACAAAGAATAATAAAAGTGCGAAGTAATTGAGGCTATAACAATGATAAGAGATAACGAAGTTTCCAACAATATTTAATTAATTCATGCTATTTAAGCCAATATCGACGCTGTTATCAACTTCCAAGATCAAGATCCGTCTGACCCAAGTTAAATCATACCACTCGTACAACTGATGACATAAATACACGATGAACCTGCTTTACCTCTTGCGTTACGTATCCCAAGTGATATGATCTAAAAAACAAGAATCTGGAAGAGACTGCTTTCAAGGCTGCGACTAAGCCTGTGCGCCGAGTATTGGCTAAACTCGATCCGGTAGATCGTTGCCAGCGAATTTACCGTAAAATGTAAATCGTGTCAAACCATTTTTCAATCGGAACGTGATTGACCAGTTTACCACCGTAGAAAGTGAATTAACATTCAGGCGAGATCGGCCGCTGCAGATAGCATCGTTATTTTTAACGAGCGCAGGTTTCCAGTGAATAGTAGCTCCTTTGACTGGAGGAAAAGAAAAAAAGAAGGAAAAGAAAGAAAGAAAGAAAGAGTCGCTCTCGGAGACAAAAAACGACCAACTTCTGTTCTTGCTCTTGAAAAGTTTGAATAATTCCTTTCTTCTCGTTACATCATACTCCTCATATCTTGTCGTGTTACAGGCATAGAACTATATTTAAGAACTATTTCGGAGGATGAAAAGCTTCTTCTTTCTTCTTTTGCTTTAGAATTTAATTATGCAATATCACAAAGGTGAGATTTTAATAAAATTTTAAAAAAGTACACGAAGAGATTCGATAAACGTGTCAACCAGTTCTCCCCGCTATTTTTGCCGCCAAACAAGTTAATCGAACACCGTTATTTTGTTGAAAATATACTTCTATACTCACCGAGATATATTAGGTTGTCCGAAAAACGTTCTTCCGTTTTATAAGGAAATAATAGACGCACAATGTTTTTTGTTTTATATTAGTTTATCGAATTATGCACGAAGATAATAATAGAAATATAACGAAATGGATCATACTTAATTCAATAAAATAATATAAAACAGAAATTGTTGTTCGTCTATTATCACCTTATGAAACGAAAGAAACTTTTCGGACAACCTAATATAAAATAATTTCGAACACAGTTTCGATTTACTTCACAACTTGCTCCCCAAAAAATTGCCAAAGGCGACCCATGTTTTCGCTTAAGACGATCTAATCTTTTCGAACTAACTTTCATTTACCTACTTTTATATTATTTATCTGTTATGTGTCTTACTCGCAAACTCTCGTACCACAGCATGATTTATCTCTACATTGTAATTTTGCTCTCGAGCGTCGCAGATTTATCGCATTTCTCTTTTCCCTCGCTGTTCGTTGTTATTTCAGATTTCGTTGTTATTAACGTATATGTATGTAATTGTACTGTCGTTACGCAAGCGTCGCGCGGACATCTGTTTCGCGATAGCGGCGCGGCGGTTCGCTCGTTCAGAAAAACTCTCGTACAATTTCCTAACGATATCCGTGAAAATACCGCGTTTCTCGATCCTGGCCGCGACACACAGACTCACGCACACCGACCGCTCGCTTATCACCGATTAAATTCTTGCGAATAGTGTGCAGCAAGAGCATAATTGCGCAAGATTACGTCGGGTCGTGCTGCAACGCTCGCGGACCTTTATCTTACGCAACACGTCGTGAATTGTGTTTTCCAATTGAGATTTTAACCAATTTATTCTTTTCTTCTAATCAAACTTTCTAATTATCTTCCGGCGAATTAAAGACCGATGCATCGACTCGGCGGCCGATCGATCTGTCGATGCTTAGCTTCGATTATGAGACTCCGAGTAACCGTGAGCAATCGTTCGTTGTGTAACTTCGTGTCGGTAGAGCGAGGTACTTGCTGACATAGCGTTTGGTGGTGACGCCGATAACAATTGTTTCTGGGATTCGTTTGTCGTTTGTAATGTATTAGGTTGTCCGAAAAGTATCTTTCTTTTACAGACACGTCTTTTACAACAACGCATCTTTATACGAACATGAAACCTAATCTGACGGACGTTGTGATCTTTATCTTGATAAAACAAAACGGATCGTACGTAATTCGATAAAACAATATAAAACGGGAAACGTTGTGTATCCGATATTTCCTTATAAAACGAAAGAAACTTTTCGGACGACCTAATATTAAAGAGACCGAAGGAACGATGCAAAGTTCGATACAATTGGAAACGTTTAATATATCTGTTAATAGATTTTTATAGTTTCCTAAAGCTTCTTTAGTTTCCTAAAGATTTCGTATTCAGATTTCGAATACAACTGGTCGCTAGACATTCTGTCTTATTTTCAAAGGATTGGTCCATCGCTATGAGACGGAATCTAAAAGACAATACTAAAGGAAAAGATGTCAAATTTCAGAATGCTTCACAAAATATCTCTAATCTAATCAAGTTTCCCATTGTAATCAATTTCGTCGTATGAAGATGTTCCCTCTAACTTCAGACCCTCGGACGATACAACCCGAAACGAATTATCCGAACTCTCCTCGAAAAAGAATACGCGAATAACCAACACTTCGACTTCCACCTTCAAGCCACAATTTTCGCCGTGAATCGCGATTACATCGGCTAGAAACTTCGGCTCAGATCATACACGGTTCGCATGAAATTATCAGAATCCTCGTTTGAAAAGAATTCAATGTGCGCTGTAACCTGCACTTTTAAACCACGATTTTCCCCATGAATCACGATCACAATTACGTGTTTAAAATCAACTTCTCCCCTGTACTTTCTCCAAGCACACGATCGATCTGTCCTAGTCGATGCATACACGTATTTATGCAAAGAGAGAGATCAGGTTATGGACAACGAGGATATGGCTGGTGGGTGCATAGATAAAAGTGTCTTTGTTACGATCGAACGAAGGAGGAGAAACGGCGTAGATCCCACGATGGCGAAACACGCTCGATCAACTATAACGCGGGTCATTGATTTAGCCGGTCTCGCACCTATATCCGCGTAGCCGCGCGCTACTGTGGTTATGCATTATGCAAAACTTTTTTTTCCAACCTGCAGTGACTTTAGTCGCTGGGTGAACAAAGAAAAAAGCTACAATCTCTTTGGTTTCCTCCCTCTCTCCCTCTCTCTCTCTCTCTCTCTCTCTCTCTCTCTCTCTCTCTGTATGTTCTTTGTATGTATATGTTGGCGTGCGTTGCGAACAGCATTGTCCATTTGTTCTCCGATTACCTGAAAATCGTGTCACGTAGGGCATAGGGCGTAGAGGACACCTTAGGCCTTTCAATTCGATCGCATCGCGAAAAGCGTAAACCGTAAGCGATTACGTACCATCGCGAATCCGACTAGAACGTGATTTATCGGTGATTCGTAGGCGGCGTTCGTTGCTACCGTTGTATATCATTGGTAAATGGTCCGGAAACGTCGGACTTTAATCAAAAGTGCGTCCTTGTAATTGCTCGTAGTAATTTATTGGTACACAGAGGGGAGGGAAGTGTGGGATCTTGGAAATTTAAAATTGTTGTGTAGAAAATGGACAGGAATGGATCGTAGCGTGGGAAGTTACGCTTTTGGACGACTTTTCTCCCGAATTTGGTTATATTCTTTCGAGTTTTACGTAGAGATGGAAGAAAAATCTACGATAGAGATATAATAATAATTTAACAGGACATAGTAATTTACTTCAGAGTATAATGATTTTTAGTTTTTGTCAATAATAATAGGTCACGATTTACCAATATTACGATACAAAAAAATCGGTAAAATTTCCGATGAGAATTGAACAGATACGAAAAGGACACGACGCTAATCTGCGGATAATCGGGTGGCGGATTAATTCGATTCAATGGCGGAAAATTCGATCGACCGGTGTCGACACCACCTAACAGCTGTTAGCTTTCAGCTGTTCGACAGCATTAAAACCGAAGGATTTCTTTGATCGTGCAATTAAACACTGGTCGGTTGGCGGACGTGTTCGCGGGCGCGTTGTTGCGCGCAAGAAACCGCGACGCATATTGTGTTACAATTTCAAGCGATTCGCTTGATGAAAGGGATCGGTTTTTCGTATTATTAGAGGCTCGCTCGCGGCTTTGATCGATAACCCGATGGCCTTGAATAGACACCGGACTTTTCTAACGAAGTAAAAGTTGACTGCGGTGAGACCGGCTTCGTAAGGATTTTAAGAGATTGCACGTCGCCGAAGGCATGTTCGATCGTACATATTTATTCGTGCACGATCAATCGGAATACTTTCTAATATCTATCTACTTTGCCATTAAATCGTCGGTTAATTGAGAAAATCAATGTACGCGTGTCCTTTTTCATTATACAAAAACTTCGCGATCTTGTGTTTAAAAAAGAAATGGAAAAAAAGAGATTTTCGATGTACTTTTACATATTCATAGAACGTTCGTTTACAGTTTAATGAGTTGCTGAAAAATTAAAATGATAATGTTACTCGTTTGTTAACTTCGTCTAAAAAAGAGGAGAAAAAGGATTAAAACGTATTTTTGCATTTTTATAGGATATTTTTAATTTGACGTTTACAGCGCAATATATTGTTAATTTAGTACGTTCAAGTTGAAGAAGCTATAGGTCTGGCCAAAATCAATTAATTCCTCAAGGCCGCCGAGCACCGAGCATCCTTCACCGCATCTACGGGTTTCAGATATCACTTTCCATATTTTCTTCTGTATTTTCCATGTTTTCCAAAATCAACGTCAAAACCACATCTACAAATGTAGAAACAATCCATAGAATTACATACAACTCTATAAGAAACTTCAACTTCGGTTCTATCGCCATCCAATGTGATGTATGATCACCATATGCGAGGGAGGCAATCGTTCATTGGCGAAAACGCTCGACTCATTTGGTTAAGAGATGGAAACTTGTTCCAAGAGGTACCATGGAAATACCCTGGAAAGCGAACAGCAATCTCGCTCCGCCCTGCACTCCGGCCGCGATACATCCAAGGCCGCTCGAGGCCGATCGAGTGGCTCGAATTCGTCGATTCGCGGGTGCGGCAGACAGAAGGCACTCTTTCACTCTCTATCTGTCTTCTTTTAACCTACGTACGACCATTCGCCATCTCGCTCGTTACTCGTTCTCTCAGTCGCTGGCCTAGCGTCTAGTCTCTGTCCGGCAACCCTCGCTTTCTCTGTCTCTTCGTTTCTCTCTTACACCCGCTTATTCGATAATACTTGCTCTCTTTGTCGCTCGTGTATACACTTGTAGTATTCTGGCCACATCCTCTCTCTCCTACGCGTCTGTGTTACATTTAGTCTTAGTAGTGTGTTTAGTTGGTTCCATATACCTTTTATTTCATTCGCTTGCTTTCTTTTTTCGTTTGTTTGACTTACCGATTTTTATATCCCTCCTTTTTGGTGTTGTTGCTCTATCAAGAAACCATATTGAGAATTTTTTAATAGAACGCGTGAAGGGTATTTAAGGTTAGGAACTTGTGAAAGGTTAACAGTTGTTTCCAAGAGATACTACAAGTTTTTGTTTCATTGCAGATACCGCGAATAACGCGACTTATTAACTTATAACATCGGTATATTACACATTGCGGAGTATATTCGCATAGGCAGATGTAACGACATCGATCACTATGGACATAACCCAGGGAAAGGTCTAAAACTTTCACAGCTATCTACTTCCTAAAACATAGTCACACCGCTTCTTTCCCAGATGTTTACGTAATATCCCTAAAAGCATACCATCCTTACCTTTCAACGCTCAGATCAAACCCACGAAACTCGCTTAAAATCGAATCAATTAACCCCAACAATTTCCGCCATACGTGCTGTCACTTTCGAAATACATACCTTTGATGAAATCGAAGACACGTATCGATCATTTCGATCGCTATTTCTCTAACATACGGTCGATCAATTACCTCATTGGCTGTTTTACATAATACACATATACTTGGAAACTATTTACCATTTTACGAGGAAACGTCGGATCGTTCGGCTAGCTTTTCGAATTATTTCGACGAAAAAGAATGCAACCGAGTATATAATTATTTTTACACAAATATCCCGAACTATTCGAGTAATTCCTAACTGTTGCTCTCTGTCTCTGTCGGATGCTTGGTGCGGCGCACCGAGCGCGAACGTCCTTGACGGTCGCCGTGGCGACTGCGCAACACAGAACAGCGCAGCGTTGCGCGTCGTTGCGCTTGCGCGCACTCGATGCACTCGCCCCACCCCCAGCCCATCGCCTCTGTGACAAGCCGCCCCCCACTACGCGGTCCACCTTTACCGTCACGAGCAACCCCACTTTTCTCTCTAACTATATATCACGGTTGCCGCATATTACGTCATCGACACCTTCACTTTGCCCATGCTCGGAGCGCACGATGCTCTGCCACTCGTTGCTCTTTCGTTGCGCTCGTACGTTGCCCGCACACGTCCTCTTGCAGCATATTGTTGCTGCTCCTGTCCAGCATCCTTCGATCTCGTTCCATCTCGTCTTTCGATTACGTTCTTTTACTTGTTCTTTTTTTATTTTGCGTAAACATGGGTATAGATCGTAATGGAAGGGGAAAAATTGCTAGGCAACTGACAGTAAGGGAAGTACATTTTTCAGGAAATACATTGCGGTAGTTACTCGATGATTTAATAATGAACAAATCTTTCTCGTTCGAGCTCGCCGAGCACGGTGCTGTGCCACTCGTTGTTCTTTCGTTGCGCTCATACGTTTCCTGCACATGTCCTCTCGCAGCATATTGTTGCTGCAGCTGCACAATATTCTTCAGTGTCGTTCTATGTTATATTTCGATTACACTGTTTTTACTTTCTTTCCTTTTGCCACCTTTTTTTCGTTTTGAATAAAGATGGATGTAGATTGTAATTGAAGACAGAATTGCTGAAAAATGACACAACTAAGGGAAGTACATTTCTTTGATGATGAGGGTGATTTGATCATTATACTTGATCCGTTCATAATAAACAAATTTTGTCTTTTATGATTTTACTGATATTCTTTGCATTTTGAGAGTGTGAGTGTTGCATTCTTCTTGTTCTGTAATATGATTGAATACTTACGACATTCGTATCGGAGTAAATACTTCATTTTTAGAGACAATATCGTAGATATATAATTGATGATTTTTAACGCATGTCACTGACCTAGTTGTTTTTATAGAAATTATTATGTATTACGAAGTACATATATACGTGGATATTTCTTTCACATTTTTATTCAAAATTGTACTTCAAATTTTCCAGAAGCACCTAAGATAAAAATCAAGTTCACGTTGATCGATTGCTTTTTAAAGAGTATTATTCGATATTTTACAATAATGTACCTGTTCATATCATTCTATATATCATTCATTTCGTAACAAAAACGATGTACAAATTCCACCTCCAAATACATATTTTTAAAAATGTATCAAAATTATATCGCATCGCGCGCAGATAAAAGTTGTTTGCTTGAAAAAAATTTTTCCACTACGGACCAATAAAAGATCCTCGAGCCACCAACAAACATGAACAACCACGCACGCGAAGCGCAAACATTCGAGATTCATCGTATTGTGTCTTGAAAACTTCCTTTTTCTCTTCATCGCGAAGAGGATGATGAGGACGCAGCTTTGACTCTTTCATGGTGGATACTGGAACGACCGGTTTTTCCAGAAATTCACGTGAACAATTCGGACGATTAACATACAGATATACTTATGTTCGTTAGTCGGTGAGCAACGTTAGGTGGACGCGATGCGATATCTTCGAGTTAATCAGTCAGCCGGTCGAAAATTCAAATGAAGTCTGGGAAGTGATATTCCCTGAAACCGAGAAACCGGACCGTATCCGGATTAAAAATACCTTTTTGTTTCGAGTCAATAAGAATACGACTTACATCGATCGGCCAAGATTAGGTGATTTATGGATCACACAACATATACACGTAATATTTTTATAGGTGTTATGCTCTCGTTCGAATAAAGTTACAAATTGCTAAAGAAGTTAGAATTTTATAAATTCTTCCTCGCTTACAAAATGTTACCTGACTATCCTATCTGACAAAAAATTAGACGGTTGTAAAACAGAAATTTCTAGCCTACAATTTGTAATCTAATTTGTGCTAAATCGTTAGTTGGCAAATTATTGTGCAAGTGTTTTATTTTCATGAAGTATGCGACTCGTAAACTTGCTTTATCGAGCTTTTAGCGATAAACCAATGGTCCATATCTTTATTAAGATTATTTTTACCCTTCGAGTCAGAATGATACATATTAATGATACATATTAAAAATAAACATTTTGAACGATGTTAAAGATTGCGAATAAACACGTTATGAAATTCATTTCTCTCTTTCGTTGTCCCCTTTTTTGTCTACCTACTGTTGCCCAGTTGCAAAAGATAATGAGCAATTTGAAACGCGCGAATTCTTACACGAGCATCGATGAATGACACGGGTTGACAATGTAGCGCATCCTAGAATAGATAAACCGCGGCTTCCATTTAAAAGCACCACAGACCAATACTATGACGTGAAAGTAACGATCTGATGCAGAGTCAATAACCTGCGATAACTGTTTGACCTAAAAGTGTCTTTGGAACTTCGTCGATGCATCTTTTTTCATTCCCTTTGCATCGGCGTCGAAAGCTCTGCGATTTGTATGGCGGTTCGGTGTGTTTCATCTGCTCTGACCACATGATTATTTAATCGACGCCAATTTCCGTTCGATTACGGTCCTTTTATCAAATATCTAGCGTCTTTTCTATACACGTACGTATGTATTTGTGAATTTGAATTCTCTTGAGGTTTTTTTGGTGAATTTTGACAAGCAATAAGTTTTAGATTATATCGGCTTTTGCCGTAGAAACGATTTTTACAGTTTTACAATTTTACGGTTTTATTATCAAACTTGTGTTACTTGCTACCTAAGGATTGATAAATCTTTGCTGGAAATATTAAATTCAATCAATTAACGAATTTTCACAGATCATAAGTTTCAGGTAATAAACTCCTGCCGTACGGAATTTTCGTAACTTTATAGAGTTACTTGTTACTTGCTACGCAAGAGAAAGAATTAACGTGGACAGTAAAATGTCGCGACTTGTCAGTCTTAATCGACTCTTTGTCCAGCATAGCAAGTAACGAGTTTGGTAATAAAACAACAGTAACAGAAGTTTATAACTTATAAATTATGACTTTTATCATGCAAAAGGTTCCCCAGCGGTGACCATTATTTCTTTCGCCAGTGTGTGCGTTCAAACTTTCCCTTGTCACGTTTGGGCGACAAGGCGTGTAACAATATGCATTTAATAATCGAAAGAAACGGGGGAAGAATTACCTTGTTGACGTTAATAAACCATTAGCATATTTATAAGCGAGAAGCATTTAATTCGATCTTTTTTTAAACCCGCACTTAAAGTCCATATTCATAAAATTATACCTCCTTGGAATAACGTAGAGCAAAGTTCGAGCTTTAAAATATAAGTGGAAAGTTCTGTAAACTCTAAAACGACATATTTTCTCTTGGTGTTCAGTTCAGAGCACGTTAATTTCTCGTTAATTCTACCATTATTTACATTGTTATTAACTATAGGAATTAGCAGATTGTAAATTTGAATTATTTGTTAAAGAAATTTAAAGATTTTTTTTTTAAATAGCGTTTATTAGACCAAGATGCATTTTAATGCATTTGGGTATTCACAATAAACTATAAATTTTGATAAGATGTGTTAGGCAAAAGTACCGATACGCGACGGTACGACGTAGCCATACTATGCTATGTGTTGGCTTTTTAAATTTTTTGTTTTAATATATTCTTTGTATTTAAACCGCCGGGGGAACGGAGCTTTTATGTGATTTTGTTTTTATTTGTCTTTTCTGTCCTGAAAACAGAAGTTTAACGATAACGAAGTACAGGATGACATCAGTGTAATTGTTGATTTTTCTTAGAATTTAATCTCGAAATTAAGATTAATAATCTGTGGAAGACACAATGTTTTGTATTGAAGTAATATTATGTGATATTTATTAAACAAAAATTGCAAGAAATATAAGTGAGCGTTGTGGGATGTTGAATGTTATTCTCAGGCTGACTGACTTAGTGACTTGACCCATGGCCCTTGAAAAGATTTTGAACCCCCACTCTCTATGCGGTAAAGAGTGTGACCTGAGCAGATGTCTGTATGGCATCACGTGCCATGGAACCTTCTAGCAGCTTTTCGATATAAAGCGATACGCTGTCTAGGCACAACACCGACGTGCTCAATGTTCCATCCATTCGCTTCTTCCGCCGAATTCTCGGAAAAGCATTCTCGCCAGCTGCCGCGGTACATACAACGAACGTACGCTAGTGGGGATATCGCTGGACAACGAAGGGAAGAATCCGTTAGATCAATCACCTCATCTGTATGCGATTAATATCGTTGTATTCCAACAATTTTAAATATCATTGCTTGAAATAATGCGAGTAGTCTTTGAGTGTCAATGAAAAGGAGGATTCTTTACTTTCTATCTCACTGATAGTTTGAAAAAAAATTTTTTAGAGTACAAAAATGTTTCATTATACATATGTATATACAGCGACTACAAAAAAATGTTTGCACATAATCCTATTTTCCAATGTGTTTTTTTTTTTTATCAGGTTCTACATTTCATTTTCGTAATATCAAATTTTGGTCATATGGAAGCAGTGCTAAATGATACGTAATTTAATATACTTGGATCTAATTAATTAGTATATAAATTTTATAATAAATACAGCGATGTGCAAATAGCTTTTGTGTCCGCTGTAATGAAACACAGCAGTGCATATCTCCGCGTTACGTCTTTTCTTTCTTTCGTTCTTTCTCTTTTGTCTTTTTATTTCATCACAATGCGACAAAGAAATCGCTGGCAACACACGTATTTAGGTTCTAGCTCTAATACATGGCCACTGATATCGCGTACGTTTATTTGCGTGAATATTACGAAAATAGCATGCATTACGCGAAAAAGGAAAATACGGAGTGTTACGCGAGAATTAGAACGTTCGCCAGTCCCGTTACCGCCGGTCTAATTCCTATGCCTGTAACATTCTTCGACAACGAATATACAGAGTAACGCCGATAGTAATAGATTGTTCAGAAAATTCATAGTGAAAATTAAGAAAGGTTTAATTAGAGTTAGACTTTTTACCATTTAGAATACAAAGAGTCTTTTTTGGAAAAATTGTTCGCCTTTTTCGATAATGAATTAGCCTCAAATAGATTCAAATAGCTTTTACAGGCTTCTAGAGTATTTGATTTCTTGTCTATAACGTTCGAGTAAGTTCTTCAAAGACCATAACTACACCTATATTCGATATATGCGACAGAAAATATTTTTGTGAGCCACTGTAGATAATTTTTATCACGTATTTTTCTTGTCACATAAATTTCCCAATATTTTTATGATCTCCTAGTGGCTTTTAAAATTTAACTTATTTGACTAAAAATATTGCTTTTGCAGTAAATATCTTCGTTCCAAATATTTAGTCCAAAAAATGTGAGATTTCAGAATATTTTATATTTGACATGCACAACAGTTTCCTATGGCGAACATTATAATACTTTCGTGAGCCAGTGTCTATATCGGGGACGTCGTCTCTTCTGTTACATTGCGCCTTAATTGCATTAATTATTATCTTCCTTTTTCCGCGTCGCCCAGTTGAATTTCTATATATACACGAACCGTATTAACAACGGCGGAAGCGATGGAAAGACCAGCTGTTAGAAAATTCCTGGCCAGAGTAGAATCGAGCGGAAAACTAGGGCAACAACTCTTCAAAAGTTTCATCGTCGATGTGGAAATATTCAGCTGATTGTAGAACGATCGGATCCCGCGCTCTGTCGTATGCTATAGTCGCCTATAGCATACCTGACTGCTTCTAGAAGTCGATGGAAACGTTTAAAATACGTAAAATACATTTTCGCCGACGAGAAAAATAACGCCGGCCAGATGCATGTGTTTGTTTTATCGCTAGAAATCGCCGGTGTTATTACGTAACCGCGACGACAACCACGTTTAGATAAGAACTATGCAATATAAAAATCGCTCGTACACGATTACAGCGCACAACGCTCTTAGTTGTACAGATTAGTGTCGAATTGAAAGACCTGTGCCATTGTGATATTCTATTTTTCTATCCAGTTTAATAGCCGATCTTCGTTCTTGAATACTTGATTTGATTGTAATTATACGTAAAATTCCTTCACTTTTATTATCATTTCAATATATGAGTTTTCATACATTACAAAGTGTACAAGTAAAAGATTGAACATTACTCGGAAATAATTGTAACATGGAAAACGTAAGATTTACGACAGTAAAACGTTGATTCAGTCAGAAGGAAGATTCTATTTTGTATCATTTACATGTAAGAGTTTCAGATAATTTGGATCAACTGCGCTTGATCCTAATCTAAATTTATTTTTTATCAGACGAGTGAGAAGTTGAGGATTCGTCACAAATAATTACTGCAATTTAGAACGCGTAATACTCGCAGTGATAGAACGTTGAGAACAAGTGTCGTTCAGCAAAAAGCCTCAGGTATTCTTGATATGAAATTTTGCGCGGTTTGGCAAATTTAAAAATAAAGCTTGTGTAAAGTGTTGGTACGCCGGCCGGCGTTCTTCGGGCATTTTATTACGCACGTAACGCGTGTGTGCATACATACGTCAAAATCGAAGTGGAATCGTGACTCAGGAGCGCGTGGAAGCGCTGCTTCGAAGGGAAGATTGGCGGCGCGGATGACGTTTTACGAACGATAATACGGGGATAGACGTTGGCCAGGCGTAGAGGAGGTAGGAATAGTTACTATAGTTATATGTAGGTATAGTAAGAGGGTGGATGAGAAGAGTGGGGGAAGGTAGAGTGCGTGCGCGCTCGAGTTGAACGCGGCTGTCAGTGTCAATTGGTTCGCCGCGACGACTTGAGGTGTCGTTAATGTGTAAACCAACGTTGTACTCGAAAGTTTCTTCCTCGCGTTCCGTCATTAGTCAGAAACGGTACGGTTTGACATTCGCATCGTCCCCTCGTTCCTGTGTGTTTACTATCCCTGCCGCGAAATCAAACGACGAGGCGTCTATTTAACAACAACGGTGGTTCGAAGGATCGGGATCGATCGGAAACAGAAATTTCGATTTGAAACTCGTACCCAACTTTTCGGTTCGTCCCGTCTGCCCGTCAACGACGAC